CTTCGGCTCAGGTCATGATGCCAGGGTCCTGGGATCCTGCCCCAAGTCAGGCTCCCTGCTCAGCGGGAAGCCTGCTTCTCCCTCTCCCACTTCTCTTGCTTGTGTTCCCTCTCACTGTATCTCTCTCTGTCAAATCTCCAAAAAAGAAAAAAAGGAAAATCTGTCAAGGACTGTATAGAAAAAAATTACAGGCCAATCACACTTAGAAATAGGATTTAGAAATTTTTTTTTTTGTTTTTTTTTTTTAAGATTTGATTTATTTATTTGTCAGAGAGCTTGAGCACAGGCAGACAGAGAGGCAGGCAGAGGCAAAGGGAGAAGCAGGCTTCCTGCTGAGCAAGGAGCCGGATGAGGAACTTGATCCCAGGACGCTGGGATCATGACCTGAGCAGAAGGCAGTCGCTTAATCAACTGAGCCACCCAGGCATCCTAGGATTTAGAAATCTTAAATTACATATTAGCAAGTCAGATCTCGCAGTATATAAGCAGGATAATATACAAGAAGAAGTTGATTTTGTCCCAAGAATTCAAGAGGAACTTCAGGAAGTCACATTGTGTAATTTGCCACGTTAAAAGATTAAAAAGAAAGCAATCTCAAGGAATTCTCTAAAGATACAGGAAAGGCATAACAAAGTCATACATTGATTAAAAACAAAAAGCCTCTGGCAAGTTAGGATTTAGAAGATAACTTAATATGCTAAGGGAGGAATTGACCCCCCCCTCCATGATTAACAACTACCTCTTTATGGGAAATATTTTGAAAAGTTTTCCTTAACATAAACAGTCTTGAAACACTGAAAAAATAAAATTAAATTTAAAAAAAATTTAAAAAGTTTTCTTTAAGACTGGGAACAAGACAGGTTTCAACATGTTAGAGACCCTAGCAATTGCTATAACATGAGAGAGATGAGAAAATTCTGTAAAGGAAGAACTAAAACTCACTATGAGAAAATACGATTATCTATTAAATGAATCACGTAGATAAAGTATTAGAATTAAAGTGTTAAGATTTTTGGATATGAAAATCAGTTTAAAAATCTTTTACTAGCATATTGTTTGAAAATGAAAAATTAAAAAAAAATTTTGGGAGTGAGTAAGAGCATGAGGAGGAGGGGTTTTGGGGTGAGGACCAGAGGGAGAGGCTGAATCCGACTCCCTGCTGAGCAGGAAGCCCCATGGGATTTTCAGTATCCAGAGATCATGACCTGAGCCAAAGGCAAATGCTTAATCATCTGAGCCACCCAGGTGCCCCTGAAAATGAAAAAATTTAAAGCTGGTCACTTAGAGCAGTAGCAAGTACTTCCGGATACATTAAAAAAAAAAAAAAAGATTTTATTTATTTAGGGGAGAAGGTCAGAGGGAGAAGCGGACCTCCCGTGGAGCTGGGAGCCGCATGTGGGACTCGATCCCAGGATTCCGGGATCATGACCGGAGCCAAAGGCAGTTGCTTAACCAGCTGAGCCACCCAGGTGCCCATAAATTAAAAAAAAATTTTATGGGAAGTGTGATTTCTATGGGAAGCAGGTTTGCTTAGACATTAAAGGATGCCTAAACAGAGATACTTCTGGATAGGTCGGTACTTTAAATATGTCACTTCTCCCCCTATTAACCTGTAGTTTCAGTCATTTCCAAACAGAATTGCTAACAGTTCTTCCTATGGTATTTTGACAGCTGGTAGGAAAATTTAATGAAAATGCAAGGGGTCAATCAAGATAAAGCCACACAGTCCTAACAAAAATAAGTAAAAGGACTTGCTCTATTCTGACTTACTCTAAAGTTGCAGTTAAATTACTGCATGGAACAGACCAGTGGAACAGAGTAGAGACCCCAAAGGTGAGCTCCCCAGAGAAATGACACCTAAGAGCAAAGAACCCCTACAAAGCTTTAAGGAGGGGAATAACTTGTTTTACAAGAAAGGTGAAATAAAATTGATAGGGAAATAAGATGAAACTGAACCTCAGCCCTACTTTGTGTTAAATAACCAACTCCAGGGACGCCTGGGTGGCTCAGTTGGTTGGGCAGCTGCCTTCGGCTCAGGTCATGATCCCAGCGTCCTGGGATCGAGTCCCACATCGGGCTCCTTGCTCGGCAGGGAGCCTGCTTCTCCCTCTGCCTCTGCCTGCCATTCTGTCTGCCTGTGCTTGCTCTCTCTCCCTCTCTTTCTCTGACAAATAAATAAATAAAATCTTTAAAAAAAAAATAACCAACTCCATTTGTATTTTTAGACCTATATATGAAAAGTGGAATTTTAAAGCAATTAGAATATAGGGAATTTATTATAAAAATAAAGGAAATAATAAATTTGACACCATTGCTGCAGACATCGCTGTAAAGAGAATAGGAGGTCAGGCTAGGAATGGAAAAAGATATTTGCTACATATTAAAATAGTGAAAAACTTAGATACAACATAAAGAATTCTAAACTAGTAAGATAAGGCAGCCCAATAGGAAAATGGGTAAAAGACTTGAACTAGCCCCTTCCAAGAGAAAATCCAGATGTCCAGTTGGCATTTGAAAAGTTGCTCAACCTCCTTATAGGAAGAAATCAAGACCACAACAGATTACTTCTATTTATCTTCCAGATTAGCCACATTTAAAAGTCTAAGAATATAAAATGGTGTTAATGTCACAGAGCAGTTGAAATACCAAAGTAGTAAGAGTGTAAATTTGCACAATCATTGTGTCAACTCCTTAGATGACATACCTTGGAGTAGAAAAATCTGCATACTTTATGTACCAGGAGGATACATGTACCACAGTGTTTATAGCAGTACTGTTGGCAGTGTCCCCAAATAGGGAACTGTGTAAATGTAGAACAGATGAAGGCATTGTGGTATCGATCCAGTGAGGTGTTATACAATAATGGAAATGTATGTGTCTATACGTATACGTGAATTTTTAAATAAACCAAAACAAATGATGGTTAAGAATGGTTAAGGAGGGAGGCATTATGGGTAGTAGAGTAGTGTGTAACATGAAGAGATTATGGTAGAGCAGGGACATGAGAGAGAGAGAGTTCTGGGCAGTTTTCTATTTCTTAACTTGGATGGTGGTTACAGTTTTTTTGTTGTTGTCATTACATTGTATTTTTCGGTTTTGTACTCTTTATGTGTTTTATTTCAAAATAACAGTAAATTCTTAAACACAAAGTATTGTGCTTTGTTAGTAGAGTACATTTTCTGTACTTGAAAGAAAATTAACTCTCAGCATCCGCTTTCTCCCTATGGCTCTTTTTATAGCAGAACTCCTCAGAAGCATTGTCTGTCCTTGTTTGTGGTTCTCACATTCTTGACTCAATTTACCACAGTTTGGCTTTCATCCCTTACTGTAATGACATCCATGTCGCTAATCCCATTGGTCAGTTCTGAACTCTTAATAGCTGTTAGCATCATTTGACATATTTGATCATTGAGCCTTCACTGAAATTCTTTATCCTTTGGCCTACAAGAGACCACATTGTTCTCAAATTCTTTCATCCTTACTGGCTATTCCTCCATGGTTTCTTTCCTGATTCCTTCTATCTCCAACCTCTTAATGTGAAGTTCTCTGTCCATAGATCCTTTTTAATTTTCTTCGTGATTTCATCCTTCATAGCTCCAGCCTGGTCTTCTCTTCTAAAGTCAGGACTTTTATTTATTTATTTATTTATTTATTTTTAAGATTTTACTGATTCATTCATGAGAGACAGAGTGGAGGGGGGTGGAGGCAGAGGGAAAAGCAGATTCCTTAGTGAACAAGGAACCTGATGTGGGACTCAATCCCAAGACCCACGGATCATGACCTGAGCCGAAGGCAGACACCCAGTAACTGAGCCATTCAGGCGCCCCTAAAGTCATGACTTCTCTTTGACATCTCCCGTTGGATATCGAATAATCTTTTCTCAGATTTATCACCTTTATTCTGTGAGGAGAGGACTTGAATGCTCTGCATTCCCTCCTAAATTTGCCCTATATGTCTATTCATTTATAATGAAACATTGCAAAAACAGTCAGAATTACTGTATTTAATTAAAAACAACCTTTGCATGTGAAAGTGTTGGCCCTAGTGGTGAAGGTATTGTTTGAACTTAAAACTATCAGAGGTTGCCAGTGCCTTTTTGCAAATGGTTGTCAGACTGCTGAGTCTGAATCCTTGTTGCAGTATAAGACAGCCTTTCTCAACCTGACTTCTGGGAGGGGAGAAGCTTTCCTGCTTAAAGTATCTTCTGTATGTAGTTAACTTCTCTCCTGTGCCTCTAGAGTGGTACTTGTTATATACTATCCTTGGGAGAATTGGCAGAGTAGTCACTTTTCTGTTCACAATATTTCCTTTCTGCTCTGTAGTGAAGATAAGGAATCCCTACTTAGAAAGGCTGCTAAGATGTAGACTTCACTCTCCTGTAGTTCTGAATAGCGCAAATTGTCACCTGCCTTGTGCTTAAGGCTATCCTAGAACTAATGCCTCCATGATTTTTAGCAACTTTAGCTTGAGAACCTTTACAAAAAGAGTTACCGTACAATTTTAAAGTATCTGTTATATTATGACTTAAGTTTTTAAATGGATGCTTACAAATGAAAAGCTAATTGAATGCTGGTAATGAATCACTTGGTTTAGAACTTTATTAAAATTGCATAATAAACAATTCTTACAGTGTTCTGCCTTGCATGCCTTAGTTTTTCCTCCTCCTCTCAGAACTATTAGGTAATATTTTTCAAGTATCCGTGCTTGATAGCTGGTAGTTTCTGTATCGAAGGTACCTCAACATTCTGTGGTCCATAAATGGAAGGCAGCTCTTAAAATTTAGAGAAAACAATTTTACTTACACTCTATCATGTTTCCATATATTTAGTAAATAATATCTTCCCGGATGTGTTTGCTTTTCATATTATAACTACTTAATGATTTTATATTAACAGTATGTAATTACATTTTCTGGTTGATAAACACAAAAGCAGGGGTAAATAAACATGCGTGTTTCTATAATGTTTTCATTAGTAAACATTTATTTTAATATTATCTAGGCTATCAAGTACTAGCTCCAACTGCCTATTATGATCAGACTGGTGCCTTAGTGGTTGGCCCTGGAGCAAGAACTGGCCTTGGAGCTCCAGTTCGTTTAATGGCTCCAACACCTGTTTTAATTAGTTCAGCAGCAGCACAAGCTGGTAAGTGTAACTGATGTTTTCAGGGATAATATTTTTCTGGTGTTCTTTTGAGATAATTTAAAAATAGAGAATAGTCTTTTGAGCAGTTTCAAGAAGTATCTGAAATTTATTTTCCAGCAGCGGCCGCAGCAGCTGGAGGGACTGCAAATAGTCTTACAGGCAGCACAAACGGTCTCTTTCGGCCAGTTGGCACTCAGCCACCGCAGCAGCAGCCGCCGCAGCCCCCAAGCACGAACCTGCAGTCTAACTCGTTCTACGGGAGCACATCTTTGACTAGTAGCTCCCAGAGCAGTTCTTTGTTTTCTCACGGACCTGGCCAGCCTGGAAGTACATCTCTTGGCTTTGGAAGCAGTAGCTCTTTGGGTGCTGCTATAGGCTCAGCCCTCAGTGGATTTGGTTCATCAGGTAAGTTGCCTTTTAAGATGAGTGTACTCTGCTAAGTGGACATGAGGTATACGCATGTGTTCAATAATAAATATTAATAAATAGCTTGTAGCGTAGAAAGGACAGGAATAGAACACTGGTTTATTAGTTTAATTTTGTAGCAAAAAAGCTGCCTCCTGCAAATCTTGTAAGTATCTATGAGTGTTTACCTCATTTTAGGCAACCCATCTTTTACTTAGCTATAGTCATTTTTCCCTGGCTTTAAGAATTATATTACTGAAATTTTTGCTTTAGGAAGGTTTGTTTGGAGCAATATATATTACACTAATGACTAGCTCTTCCTTATTCTCTATATAATGATTGAGGAAGTAAATATTTTGCCATCTTAAATTTCTGGTATAAATAATTGTCTTTGTGTGCTTATCAGGTAGTTCGTTCTTACTAAATGCTAGTGGTTCATTATGATTTTCTTTAGTTGGTATGATACATAAAAATAAAATTAAATATTCTAAACAGAAGCCCCTAGGAAGCTACCAATGTGCTTATCTTTTAGACTAAATAATTGGGCCTTTATCACTAAAATTTCATCTAAAAGGATGGTTCTTCCCATATCCTAGTTTTATATATACTACTTAAAAATTTAAATTTGAAGTATCTTCACAAAATAATTTACCCACAACAAAGTGATTTTGTAACTGAGGAATGACTAGCTGAAGTCAAAAGAGGCCCGCATTGACTCCGCATTGACATACCTTGTATTCGCATTCTCTGAGGTTTCCAGAGGAGTCAGGAAATATTAGAGGAAAAACAGTGTACCCTAGGTCTGTTGGTACAGTGAATTCACAGCCTTTTCTTCATGAGGGGCAGGGCAGTTTATTCAGACCTCAGGAGATTTTCTATTTTTGTTAAGTTCTAGAGTCTATAATACCTGCTTCTCATCTGTTTTCCCACCACCTTAAACTATATAGTTTTCTGGTGAGGAAAATGGCAAAACTAACATGGGCCAGTTTTTATTAAGTATGTTTGCCTATTTTCTAAGAAAGGATCTTCTGAACTTTCAACGTTCATACTTACAAGAGGAATGGTCTAAAACAAGTAGAAACTTTTAGATGGAGGATGCTTTTTTGTTATAATGAAGTATAATAGGGAAATAATTACAGTTGCAGAACAAAAAGTTACCTAAAGAATGGGCACAAGAACTTCTGAGGGAAAATCAAACGAACATGGAGACTCTTTAATCTTTTAATTTTCCTACCTGAGTTTTTCATTCCTTTTGGAGTTCAATATTTTACTTCTTCCCAAGCACTCCCATAGGACTCATTTTTTGTTTCTAATACACTAGACAACCATTTTCCTCAAGTATCCAACATGCTAAAGAAAACTGAAAGAACGTATAACTTAAACTTTGTAGAAATAACTAGTTTCTAGAGATTATAGAGAACAGAGAAGAGCTTTGATAAATCTCCTGTTCCCTTTTCTTATAAAATAATGTCACTGATGGTCTGGGATAGATTTGTAGTCCCCATTAATCCAGTTCTTTCAAATTCCCATTTGTCTCTTAGTTGCCCCCAGCATTCAGGAACGGTTGGCATGAACATTTGTTCCCTACAGATACTCCTGCAGATGCCTCTGTCCCCAAAACTGATCTTCTTCATGCCTCCCTTATTTATAATCATTGCTTACACAATTCTGACTACTAGTCTGGGTGCCTCTGTTTACCTTGCTTCAGAGAGCATTAGCAGTTGCCACTCCTGGATGCTAGTACATAGTCTGTCATCTTCCCCTTCCTCTTGGACATTTCTGAGAGTTCATTGAAGTGCTGCACGTGTGTACTCTTAAGACAGGTCTACCCACGGCGGTTTCACCTTATGGCAATTCCATGTCTCTATGAAATCTAAAATGATAGTACGGTTATGTGCACATACACACAATCAGACACACGTTCTCCTACCTATATGAGGAAATTATTAACACTTACAGTATTAAATACCCTAGCTTATAACACAGTCGCCTAGGAATCTTAGCCATTATAATATAGTAATTAAATCATCCTTTCTATGACCCATTATTTAGAAAGTATTGGAAGTTTGTAATTTAACATTTTATGCACAGTTGACAAGTGATTAGTGACTCCACTGTTGCTCTAACCTTTTAGATATTTTAGGTATACTTCGTTTCGTATTTCATAGTCGAAGTGTTGCAGAAAATTTAGGCATATAGTAAAAGTTAAGGAGCCAGATTGTTTAGGTTTAAAAAAAGCTATTTCTGAATTACTTTTAAATGTTTGGCTTGGCTTTTCCTTTTTGGAGGAAAATAATACTGCATGTGTCAAAACTATGGGTTTTTTTGTTTTTGTTTTGTTTTGTTTTGTTTTTGCCAGGGGAATGACACAGAGCTACTGCTCTCATTAGAGAGCTGTTGTCTTTTCCTTGTCAGTTAAATTGTTTTCTGAAATAAATAGGAATTTTAAATTTAGCCATGTTCTAGAACAATCACTTTGACAGTGTCCTTTTAAATTAGCATAGTTAATGTAGCATATGTTTGACAATTTTGCCAAAAGCAACTCAAGCAGAAGTATTTATTACATTAGTGTTTATATTTGGTTTTGCTGTTAGAATGCATATAATTAAATAGTATCCCTGGTACAGTATCTTAAAATGTGCAGTTTTCAATAAAGCATGATTAGTCTTTCAGAAACCGTACTGTCTGGTATAAAAGGTTGACTTTTTGTTTTAATATTTTGCCTCATACAGTTGTGTGAGCCTGGTATTTTTCTTTTATAAGAATCCTCAATTTGGCAAAACCAATGTAATTGTTTTCTATCTGTATTAATAAGCTTAACTTGGTCTACCCATCATGTGCTCTGCTTAATTTTTCTCTTAATTTTTTCATTTATACCCTAATGACCTACTTATAATTGACTTGTGATTAGAAAACCAAGACCTAATAGAAACTTTAAAATTCTCTTGAAAAACGTTAACCATATTGGTCCGAATATAGAACTTGTTCTTCAGAAACTTGACAAGAAACGTAATATCAAATTCTCTCAGGTGTAAAAGGCATTAGGTAAAAAACAAACAAAAAAAAGGCCAGTGTTCAGAAATAGGAAGAAAGCACTTGAAAATGTGGCCTCTAACTGAGACATCAGAATTGGGAGTTTTGGACAACCCTTTTGAACACTTGGTAAAGAATTTGATTATCCAGATGTGTTGATTAACAGATCTTGGGTTATTTTTTTGAGCATTCGTTACTATATGGTAATGAGATTCTACCATCATTTTATGATTTTGTGGAGTACAAAAGGAAAAAAGTACTAGAAGGTTGAATTTGAAATTAAGTAAAAAGAATTTAGTATGTAGTTCAGTGAGAGATGTATTATGAGAGAATTGTATATTAGCTAAGGGGAAAAAAGGTTTATCAGTCTTCACTTGAGTAAGGGGCTCGTAAAACTGGTAGTAGATACTTAGGAATGGAAGATCCCAAGGGGTAAGTGAAAGCATGTCTTTGGTGTGATAACAGTAATGAGAGCTATTAGTTTTCTAAAAGGAAGTTTAGTTTTTCATATCTATTTTGTAACTTGTTGAAGGATAGGAACTATGTGTAATGTGAAAAGTACCGAAAAGTTAGTTGTCATCTGTATTTTGACTGATATTCGGGCCAATATGGACTTCAGGACTATGGTTTGAACACAAGCGAGAAGCCAAATTAAATGTGAATGGTGAGGGAAATGTATTAATAATCTGTTTATCAGTGTAATCCTTTCTTGGCATTGAGTTGAAGTCTAAGAACCTGATTCCAGAGATTAGGACACTACCAAAATTTAACCTTACTGGAATTTAATCTCCAGCATCTCCTAAAGCAGACACCTTACAATTTCAGGGTTTATAAATCATACCAGGGTATTAAAGCACAGTAATCATATGTGTCAATGGTAAATATGTGTGAAATAATAAACATATGAGTGCTCTGTTAAGTATTTGGTTACTTTATTGGGGTGCATTTATACCCTTTTATGATTAATAAGTTAGTTTATATAGTTATCACAGTAATTATCTTCTCCATAATGTTTCTAAAAATAATTATTGTGATCACTTCTGTTATTTCCCAGCAAGAGTTGGGGATAGGTTTTATTCAGTTAACACATGTATGTAATTAGGGTTTTTTTTATTTCTTCTTCAGTTGGCAGTTCTGCAAGTAGTAGTGCCACAAGGAGAGAGTCTCTATCTACTAGCTCTGACTTGTACAAAAGATCTAGTAGCAGCCTAGCACCCATAGGGCAACCATTTTACAATAGTCTGGGATTTTCCTCCTCTCCAAGTCCAATAGGCATGCCTCTGCCAAGCCAAACTCCAGGACATTCACTTACGCCACCGCCATCACTTTCATCACATGGATCCTCATCCAGTTTGCATTTAGGTAAAAAAAAAAAACCAAAACCCTTTTTATTTGTATGTATACATGTAAGTGTGTTTGTGTGTGTGTTTATAATATATGTAAAATATTTAATGTTGGATAAAACATGCCAAATTGCTTTTGCTTTTAGATATTAGCCTTTTGAAAAAGTTCTACTTTTGTGAAAATTCAAAGTGAGGGTCTAATGTACAGTAAGGTAAAGACCCCTATTGTATCTTATGTTTCTTTTATGAAATACAGTGGTGTGTTTTTTTCTTGTCTGTGCTTTTGATTTGTGTGTTTTAGATCATCCGAAAAAGTCAACTGTTTAAACATGATAGTAAAAGAAATTTCACTGTTGCAAGTCTTTGCACACCTAAAGGAAAACATTAGTCACATAGTTACTGAAATTCAAATAATTTAGTTTAGTACAATGGTTTCTGCTTTGGCCTTTGAATGCCTGGCCATTTTACCAAAGGTTGTATCAGGGTATATGACTTAATACGTTTGTGAGTTAGAGTCTTAAGGGTTTGGTCCATATGCTCTTACTTCTGAATATGTCTTTTAAGAAAAACAATGTTTTAGGCTTGTTATATCCTTGAATTTGGAGCATTTAGAACTTTTGTTTCATTCTGTATATTAAAACTGCCCCCCACCCCAAGATTATTGAGATGGTGGTTACCCTTTTCCCTCTCCAGGAAATATTTACTCATGTAGTTAACAGAATATTTTTAAGAGATTTTGGATATCAGAGGCTATGTATGAATCTGTGTCTCTTTAAGGAAAGTATTTGATTAAAATTAGATTTCGAATTTTTGTAATTTTAGTTAACTCAAAACTGGGATTTGTGCTTAGAAAGATTGAATCAGTTTGTGATTTTAAAAAGAAATGTTGCTGTTGTTAGCAAAGATAAGTTAGTGATTGTATTTGACCCCTGTCCCCAGTCATAAGGGTATAGCAATTTTTTCCTAAAGTTCGTTAATGTAAGTGTCCATGTAACAAAGGGATCTTTTGCATCATTTAGATACATATCAGTGTGAAGTGGCCTAGATTTTTAAAGGCCGGTCCTGTGCCCCAAATTCAGGGTCCTTGCTCTTTTGTAGATATTAAATATATACAACTATTTATTTGGGTGGGGCCCTAAGATCTCCTATACAGCACTATTTGTGTAAACGTAATCCGTTTTTAGCCTTACACCTTTGTTCATTTATCATCTTTTCTTGATCATGGGAGCTGCTTAGTTCCTGATCTGTATACTCTACTCAGACCCACTCCCTCCCACCACTCCCATGTAAGACATGCCTTTGAAACTTTGAAATGGACACAAAAATTTGGAACATAGCAAGCCTAAGGATAGGTCTTTCATAATAGTTTTGTGTTTTATTTGTTAAAAATTATATTTGTCGTGTCCTGTCCTTAACATAGGTAAGTTCCAGATCAGATTCCTGTCAACTATTACAGCTTACGTTGTGCTTTGGGGCCTGTAAAAATGGCATTAATTATTCTACATAGCTCATTTAGAAATTAGAAATATAAATGACTTTTTAGTTGTATCTATAATTAAACAGCAATCAAGATATTTTTCTTCAGACTGTAAAGAATCCAGCTGTGTAGGTGCTTAGGAAAGAAATTCTTGTTACGTAAGAGAAATAATCATCACTTGGGCCAGCATTTCTACATTATAGCCTGATACTTCTGTACGCAAAGTTAAATGACTTAGTTTAGCATTAGCTGGAAATCTGTTCTTTTAATACACCTCTGATTGGAATTATCTGTAGATGATTTTCTTTTGTAATCTCCCAGTTTTCTTTAGTTTTAGTTGTTGTATGACTGACAGTGTTAACAAGGACCATATGCACCCTGCCAGCTTGGAATAATTTAATAGAGTTCATAAATTTGCTCTTTATGTAGTGTTCATATAATCTATTTGCTTTCACCTGATTGAATCACAGTACAAGACTTAAATGCTCTCTAGTCTAAGAACATAATTTTAAGTTGTATGTCCTTTAGTGGATTTCATCATGAATCAAGTCATCAAAGCAGATAATTTAGAATACCTATGGAAATGAATTTGCATATCTATTTTTAGAAATAATCTTCCTCAGCTCACATATTAAGAATAGAGTATCATGGGGTAGGAGTTCTCAGTTTCATTATAATTGGTTGGAATTAATTGGTTCCATGTTATTGTCTTGAGAGATTTTCAGACAGGTAACCATTATAGTTATTGATAGGCCTTCCTGATACCTACATTCTAAAAGTCTTGAATGACACACTTTTTTTTCTTCAAACCAGCTCTCCCTTTGCTAGTTATTTGATTCACAGAAAGGGCCTAATAGCAACATTGTTGTATGCTTCTTTCCAAAAAAGATGTTTTCTTTTTTAACGATTTTATTTATTTATTTGACAGATCACAAGTAGGCAGAAAGGCAGGCAGAGAGAGAGATGGGGAAGCAGGCTCCCCGCTGAGCAGAGAGTCCGATGCAGGGTTCGATCCCAGAACCCTGGGATCATGACCTGAGCCGAAGGCAGAGGCCTAACCCACTGAGCCACCCAGGCACCCCAGATGTTTTCTTTTTTAAAGTAGTTGTCATTTGATCAACATAAGTATTTTCAGTTTATGACTACTATTCACTTTCTCATTAAAGAACAAGTATTTCAATTGATAGGTTTGGATTGTTCATTTTTTATGAACTAAAATATTTCTGATTCGCAACCTTATTTTTTAAGATATTGAAGTCAGAAGCATGAAAAAATTTTATTCTTCCATTTCCTAGTATAAAAGATAAAATTCCTTTTTTTTTCTTTTTTGAAGATTTTACTTACTTATTTGGCAGAGAGAGAGATCACAAGTAGCAGAGAGAGAGGGGGAAGCAGGCTCCCCGCTGGGCAGAGAGCCTAATGCTGGGCTTGATCCCAGGACCCTGAGATCAGGACCTGACCTGAAGGCAGAGGCTTAACCCATTGAGCCACCCCGGTACCCCAAAATACCTTTTTTAAAAACAAAACTATACTATCATCATATCCTTTTTTTTTTTTTTTTTTAAGTTTTTTTTATTTTTTGACAGAGCACAAGTAGGGGGAGCAGTAGGCAGAGAGAGAGGGAGACCCTGGGATCATGCCCCAAGCTGAAGGCAGACGCTTAACCAAATGAGCCACCCTGGTGCCCCTGTCATATTTTTTAAAATTAATAATATCTCATTATTCTGTTTTCCCTAATTGACTTAAATGTCTTTTTGATGCGCCCTTCTGTCTGAAGCCATTTCCCCTTCCTCTCTTTTTTCTTTCCATTTTTTGTTGAAGAAACTTTGTCCTGTTGAATTTCTCACATTCTTAACTTTGTTGATTGCTCCCCCTTAGTAGTATTTAATGTGTTCCTCTATTCCCTGTATTATAAAATGAAATTAAATCTAGAGGCATGGTTTTATTGTTTGTTGTTTGCTGTTTTTGGCAAAATGGGTTCTGTATTTTCTCTGCGGGCACCATATCAGAAGACCCATTTCTGGTTGTCTCCATTTGGGAGCTGGCAGCCTGATCCACCTAATGGCGTAGCAGCCTTGGATCATTGTCTGTTTTTTCAGAGGTTGCAAAGTGGTAATACTCTAATTCTGTCATACCTTCAGCATTTATTAGCTGGAAGTTCTTTATGAAAAAAACCGTTAGGATAGTGCTTATTTTCTTTCTTTCTTTCTTTTTTTTTTTTTTTAGATTTTATTTATTCATTTGACAGACAGAGATCACAAGCAGGCAGAGAGGCAGGCAGAGAGACAGGAGGAAGCAGGCTTCCTGCTGAGCAGACAGCCCGATGCGGGACTTGATCCCAGGACTCCGAGATCATGACCTGAGCTGAAGGCAGCGGCTTAACCCACTGAGCCACCCAGGCGCCCCATAGTGCTTATTTTCTAACTTAAGAGAGTAACTTGAGAATGAGTTGATGCCCTAGCAATTTCTGTATGTAACCCCTGTTCTTTTAATCATCATTGTTACCTGTAAATTGATGACTTAGGGTAGTGGATAGCTTTTAGTCCATTTCAGTCTGAGAGGTATCAATTTCACAGCTTTTTTTTTTATCTTGAAATTTTACCATCTGGGGTGCCTGCGTGGCTCAGTTGGTTAGGCGTCTGCCTTCAGCTCAGGTCATGATCCCAGGGTCCTGGGATTGGGCCCTCTGTCAGGCTCCCTGTTTGGTGGGGAGTCTGCTTTTCCCCTCTCCCCCAACCTTCCCCTGACTTGTGTGTTCTCTCTCTCTCTCAAATAAGATTTTTTTTTAAATTAAAGATTTTACTTATTTATTTGTCAGAGAGAGAAAGAGCCAGTGAGCACAAGCAACGGGAGCAGGAGAGGGAGAAGCAGGCTTCCTGCCGAGCAGGGAGCCCGATGTGGGGCTTGATCCGAGGACCCTGGGATCATGACATGAGCTGAAGGCAGACTCTTAACTGACTGAGCCACCCAGATATCCCTCAAATAAGATCTTCTTTAAAAGATGTACCATTTTTGGCCATTTGGAGCTCTTAGGATGGACTCCCATTTGACTACAGGTTTTTAAAAGCAGCATTTAAATACTGGGAATCAAAAACAAGTGGGAAAGGAACAAGGAAAGAGAAGAACTTTAAAATTAACGGCTTTTATCTTGAAATGCAAAGAGCAGTGTCATAGTCTGTGCTTCAGGTTAAGTGTTAAACATTAAATGAATTATTTTTTCATGCTATCTTAATCTGTAGAGCTGGGGGGAAAAATCTACCTGCAGTTGTTTCTTTAATCATTTTCTCTGATAGAAGTCAGTATCTTATTTTGAGGTACTTCATCTCAGAAAAGTATTCCCAGTATTATTTTGTTCTTCTTGGAGCTAGCTAACAAATTCTTTCCTTCTCTGTTTCTTTTTCCTTTTTAAATAAGCTTTTAAAATACGTTAGTGATTTCTGATTTATTCTTACCTTTGTGCTCATAGTAATCAGATTGATATGGAATTTCCTGGGTATAAAACAACATTCTGTATTTTTATTTAACTTAGGACTTAATGAACT